TGGGACGCGTTCACAATTATAAAATTTGTAAACACTTAAATTTTAGTAGAACAACGTAATCTCTTTTGTCCCACTGGCCGATTCCCACTCAAAACCGCAGTCTTCTGGCGAAATCGGTCGGAAAAGAAAAAAAATTTTAAATTTGAGGGGCAAAAAAAAAGAAAAAAAAAAAAAAAAAAGAAAAAAAAAAGGGGGTTTTAATATTTTGAAAAAAGCGAATAGCAAAGAGGAGGAAAAAAACAATTTACCGTTTGATGCGCACAAATATTCTGGGTACTTGGTATGTTGTTATAAGGTCGAAAAAAGCGAATGAACCTTTATGTTCTTTTAACTTTATGCCAGGCTTTTGCAAGCAGCACACACCGAAAAAAAAGAAAAAAAAAGTTCACCATGTGCATAGAAACTGCGCAGTTATCTTTAATTAAGGTTGAAATTTAGTCTCTGTAATATTTCAATTTTATAATGTTTCAAAACGCTAAAATAAATAGGAAATTTACACAAAACTGGGTCCTTTCCAACTTAACATTCAATTTGGAGTTAATTGCCGCGAATATGCATTGTTGTGGCTGTTGTTAACCGCTAATTTGAGCTTTTGGTTTTCCCGTAACTTTTTTTGCGATCACACACACCGACAAAAATGCAACGCGCGTAAAAAACGCGCAGATCAGTGTTGGTTGTTATTTCGTTTTGGTAATTTCAAAATTCTTCTTGTTTTAAATCACTGAATAAATTAGCGAAGATCCGAGACACAACCTCTTACTACGCGCCCACAAATTTAATTGCGCTGCGTGTCGCAGTCGCCGACACTCTCTCACTCCTCTAAATTCCCTCTCTCTTCTACCGATTCCTCATTTTTCTCTACCTCTCCCAACGACTTGTACAGTGGGACGCGTTCACAATTATAAAATTTGTAAACACTTAAATTTTAGTAGAACAACGTAATCTCTTTTGTCCCACTGGCCGATTCCCACTCAAAACCGCAGTCTTCTGGCGAAATCGGTCGGAAAAGAAGAAAAACAATTTACCGTTTGATGCGCACAAATACTGGCCGTTTATGTTCTTCTAACGTTATGCCAGGCTTTTGCAAGCACACACACCGAAAAAAAAAAAAAAAAGTTCACCATGTGCATAGAAACTGCGCAGTTATCTTTAATTAAGGTTGAAATTTAGTCTCTGTAATCTTTCAATTTTATAATGTTTCAAAACGCTAAAATAAATAGCAAATTTACACAAAACTGGGTCCTTTCCAACTTAACATTCAATTTGGAGTTAATTGCCGCGAATATGCATTGTTGTGGCTGTTGTTAACCGCTAATTTGAGCTTTTGGTTTTCCCGTAACTTTTTTTGCGATCACACACACCGACAAAAATGCAACGCGCGTAAAAAACGCGCAGATCAGTGTTGGTTGTTATTTCGTTTTGGTAATTTCAAAATTCTTCTTGTTTTAAATCACTGAATAAATTAGCGAAGATCCGAGACACAACCTCTTACTACGCGCCCACAAATTTAATTGCGCTGCGTGTCGCAGTCGCCGACGCTCTCTCACTCCTCTAAATTCCCTCTCTCTTCTACCGATTCCTCATTTTTCTCTACCTCTCCCAACGACTTGTACAGTGGGACGCGTTTCCAATTATAAAATTTCTAAACACTTAAATTGTAGTAGAATGCACTAATTTCTTTTGTCCCTCTGTCCGATTCCCACTCAATATAGATTTAAACCATAAAAAATAACCATTTCAGTATATCCATATACACATTTACCACAATATAATCCTTTACAACATATAGATTTTTTAAATGTGGCAAAAATATAATGCATTGAAATTTAAAATCCCCCACAATTTGTTTGTTGTTGCTTTTGTTTTAACACAGTCGTAGGGTTCCTTGTCTTTTATTTTAATCCAGCTAAACGCGCCCAAAAATAATAATGGCGCCTCGTGTCGCAGTAAATGATTCCTCTCTCTACGCTTCCTAACCGTCCTCCATTTCTCTCACCCAACAATTCGTACAGTGGGACGCATAGGTTGTTTTAGCTCTATAACTATTTTTAAAATACAAAATTCTTTTAAAAATTTTAATATTAAAAGAATGCACTAGGCATCCTCTGTATTTTATTTTAATCCAGTTATTTATTGCTGCTCACTGTCCGATTTCCAACAAAACAAAGCAGACTGTCGACTACTGTATATACTTGCTTATATAATTAAGTGTGTTTATGCATGTGTATACGCGCCCAAAAAAATAATGGCTCCGCGTCTCGCAGTTGATGATTCCCCTCTCTCCTCTTCATAACTATCCCCATTCTCTCTCTCACCCAACAACTCGTACAGTGGGACGCATAGGTTGTTTTAGCTCTATAACCATTTTTAAAAAATACAAAATTCTTTTAAAAACTTTAATATTAAAAGAATGCACTACGCATCCTTTGTATTTTATTTTAATCCAGCTATTTATTGCTGCCCAATGTCCGATTTCCAACAAAATATAGCAGACTGCCGACTGCTGTATACACTTGCATATATAAGTTTAAATGTGTTTATGCATGTGTAAACGCGCCCAAAAAAAAATGTCGCCGCGTCGCAGTTGATGATCTCTCGCTCTACCCTCTTCCAATTCGCTCTCTCTTCTCGCTACCAATTCTCTATCTCTCCCAAAAATTAGTACAGTGGGACGCGTAGGCAAAGTTTTAGACTTACATATAACATTATTCTACATATCAACATTTTTAAATACTTTCATTTTAGATAAACCATTTATTTTTGTTATTATAGACTAATATAAAAAAAAATTTTTTATTTAGACTTTAAACAATTTGGAAAAAGATATTGCATTAAAATCACGCTACCTAAAAAATATTTTATTTGTGGTTCCTTTTACTATAACGCAGTCGTAATGCCTTGTCTTTTATTTTGATACAACTTTTCATTGCCGCCTTTTGTTAGATTTCCACTGAAAGCTGAAACAGGTCGGAAAAAAATGAACTTTACCGTTTGATACGCTCTAAGAGCAGAACCAAATTCCAGCGAATGATGCGCGAAAAGGCGCCAAAAGCCGGGACTTATGTATTTAAAAATGTGTACATACAAAAAAAAAACTTGGTAAAAAATTGTCAAACAGTCCCTAATCACAAAAATATGTCAATTCTACCAAGTAGATGTAAAACAACTTTTAAAATAATTACATTTTTAATTTTATTTGTGTATGTTTTAACGCTTTTTCTTTAGTATAGATTTAACCATACTCACACAAAACTTGATCCGTTATAATTTATTAGCCAATTTACAAGTTGTTGTTGGCCGTAAATGTTCTTCTAACTTTATGCCAGTCTTTTGGAAGCAAACACACAGAAACAAATTGAAAAAAAAAATTCACCATGCGCATAGAAACTGCGCAGTTATCTTTAAGGTTGAAATTTAGTCATTTTTTAAATTAAGCTATTAAAGCCGACCCACTTTCCGATTCCCACTCAAAACCGCATTCGTCTGACTAAAAACGGTCGGAAAAAAAACACTACCGCTTTATGCGCTCTGAGAGAAGAACAAATGCCAGCGAATGAAACGCAAAGAGGGGAAAAAAAAGGCGGGCTTTATATACATGGGAATGTGTGTGCGTATTAAGTGCCCAATTTCATTGGTAAATCGGGAAATATTTATGTATATATTAGTCTAGTTGTTATGCTAAGTATAGATTGGTTACTCACCCAAACTCGATCCGCATTAAATTTTAGCCATATTTAAGTTATTTTCCGCGAGTATGCGCATTTTCCGTTTTGAGCGTTTGGTTTTTTTTGATGTTTTTTTGCTTTATGCCAGGAAATCGCGCGCAAATTCACAGAAAAAATATTTCCAAAAAAACCGTTTACCACGCACTGCTTTTTCTGCTCTCTCACAAAATTATATCGAAGTCATTTGTCGGAAGATCATGAAACAACCACTAGCGAATTTCACACAAAAACGAATCAAGTTAAGAGCCCCGTTTAATGTTTTTTTTCGCTTTATGCCAGGAAATCGCGCGCAAATACACAGAAAAAATATTTCCAAAAAAAACCGTTTACCACGCACTTCTTTTCCTGCTCTCTCACAAAATATTAGCGAAGTCAATTGCCGGAAGATCATGAAACAACCACTAGCGAATTTCACACAAAAACGAATCAAGTTAAGAGCCCCGTTTAATGTTTTTTTCGCTTTATGCCAGGAAATCGCGCGCAAATACACAGAAAAATATTTCCAAAAAAACCGTTTACCACGCACTTCTTTTCCTGCTCTCTCACAAAATATTAGCGAAGTCAATTGCCGGAAGATCATGAAACAACCACTAGCGAATTTCACACAAAAACGAATCAAGTTAAGAGCCCCGTTTAATGTTTTTTTTCGCTTTATGCCAGGAAATCGCGCGCAAATACACAGAAAAAATATTTCCAAAAAAAACCGTTTACCACGCACTTCTTTTCCTGCTCTCTCACAAAATATTAGCGAAGTCAATTGCCGGAAGATCATGAAACAACCACCAGCGAATTTCACACGAAAATGAATCAAGTTAAGAGCCCCGTTTAGAATGCCGCCAGTTTGCGCTTTTGAGGCTGTTTTTGGCCGACGACGAAAGCGCAATTTTGAGCATTTGGTTTTTGTCCACGGATTGGTTGGGATCTTTGATAAAGGCAGAGGTAGTTGTCTCAGGTTAGTCACGAACGGCATCGCGGTGTCGGTGATTTAATCGATGTTTCCCCACCTCGCGCCGCACCACTCACAATTTAACAGCAATGTTAAGATACAACGTTTTCTTACATTGGCGAACTGTAAGTCCTCTGCCGCTGCACTGCCAATGTAAGAAAACATTGCTGTTACGGAGAGCCGCTGTTACGTATAACTGGCACTTACGTTTTGAAGCTTACGTTTTGACGTAACGCAACGCCGTTCTTGGGATGGGACAGAAACATCGATTGTGGCAAAAAACATCGATTACCCACCTCCGGCCTGGTATATGGCGGCGACCCGCGCGCGGTCACACTAATTTCTTTTTTCGTCTGGGTGGTTGTTGTGCGAAAAGGCGGTCGGCGAATATTCAAAAGTAACTGCAATCTGCATCCGGAGCTGAACCGAAAAACACGGAAAGTGGTCACAGTTGTGAGCGCGAGACAGAAAAGTTGAAAGGCTAGCGACTGCGAGCTGTGTGCATTTCGACAAAAGTCGGAACTCGGTGCCAGGGGAAGGAAGTGGAGGAAGGACAAGCAAATTCGTGCTCTTGGCCGTTCCTGCCTGCGTCTCTCTTTCGCTGCGAGAGCGGTGTGTATGTGTGAGTGCGAGTGCGAGAAGAGAATCTGCAAGAAAAGCAACGCCGAAAAGCGAGGAATCGAGAAATAAAACGCAGTGGCGTGTGAATCACGAGCAGCTGAATCATCTCACTCGCAGAAATACTTGCTTCTGTTGGCGAATCATACATCGCAGAGGATGGAGCACCACGAGGACAACGCTCAGCTCGACAACTACTTGCAGAACCGCCTGGCCGAGAGTCTGCAAATTTCCGGGGGCGACAACGAGCACCATCTTCACCTGGCAGACGCCGCCGGGGACGAGCTCTCCGCCCCTGGCATCGCGTCCTCCAAGTCGGACAAGAACGACGGCGAGGAGGACGAGGAGTGGAAGTACATCCACGAGGTGCAGCAGAGCGAGAAGCTTCAACAGCAGCAGCCGCTTCCTCTGGCTGCGGACACGGGCAACGGATTTGGCCCCGGCGGCCACTCTGAGGATCTGGTCCTGGGAAACGGCGGTGCCGCTGGTCTCAGTCTGGCCTACGAGGAGGAGGACGTGGAAGTGATCAAGAACGACGGTGACTTATCCACGAACTCCAATACCACCACTTCTACAGACGAAGTGGTGGCCCAGGATCAGCAGCAAGCACAGGAGGAAGAACAGCTGGCGGAGCAGCACCAAGAGCAGAAGTTGCAGTCCCAGGATCTCCAGCAGGAGGACGAGGACGAGCCCAGCTCCGTGGCCACTACCTATGGAACCAGCAGTCTCAGCGAGAATAATCCCACATCCTTGGATAAAGAGGAGGTCGTGCTGGCGGCCCAGCCAGCTGCCGAAGAACTGCTAGCGGGCTTCGATAATAAGGAGAACTGTGATTATGTCGAGGGTGTGGAGGAGAACCACTCTCAGCTGAATCCCAATGCTGTGGCCTTTGTCCCTAGCTTTGGCTCCCAGCCATCCTCCCCCCTTCCCGCTGTGGAGGAGCCACTACTCGGACTGAATCCCCGCCAGCTGCTGTCTGGAGGTCCCCTGGACGATCTGGTGGCGGAGAGCCCGCGCAAGGGATCCGCCCGGGAGAATATGGATGCGATTGCAGTGCCCGATGAGCGGGAGTTCGACATTGAGGCGGATAAGCGACCCCACGAACTGGAGCTGGAATCTGCCCTCTTTGGCGCAGGAAATCTGGAGGTGCAGTTGCTAAATGGAGCAGGAAACGCGGAGCCGGTTGCCGTAGCGGATGTGTTGGATCACGGTCCGGAGACAAGTGTGGATATGGACTTTTCGCTAGATCAGCTGCCAGCCAGTGCCGATATCATGAAGCAATCGATTTATGCCGAGCATAATGCCTCCATTGAAGACATCCTAAATTCCGTGCAACCCCTGCCCATTCAGACGGGTGACGAAAAGGAACTGCTTCATGTGGAGGAGAAAGAGCATGTCTCGCAGTCACCTTCCACTGAGGAGCTCCAGATTCAGCAAGAGTTCCAGCACGAGCAGCCGTTGTTCAACAACGCCAAGCAGGACCTAATGCAGGCTTCCTTTTACTTGGAGCATACGTCCAAGGAAGCGCAGAAAGAAGAGCACCAGGAGCTGAACGAGCTTCCTGTGGACAGCACCGATATTTTTGCCGAGCAGAGTTTACTGCTGGACACCAGTGCCCCGCAGTTCAGCCCTGAATCAGACTCGCCTGTGGCCAAATTGGAGCTGGAATCCCAGCAGGCTGACATAGTGGACATCACACCTTCGCCTATTTCTTCCACTGAGGAGAAGCATTTGGTTGAGGACACCAAGGAGCTGGTTGAGGAGAACAAGTTCGTTCAGGAATCTCATCACTTTGAGCCTTTTTCAGTTGGAGCTCCTCCTCAGGTAAGTTCAAATACAAAAGCAGGGTATTATAAAAGTGCCACAAATCACCATTGCACTCGTCATCTGCAATCTCGGGTGCGGCGGCAGTTTTATTTATTCTGCCTCGCTTCCGCTGCTTTCACTTCCTTTATAATATTCCCCGCTTGAGGTTGTCCTTGCCTCTCACCTGGATACCGACGTAAAAAATAATAATCATTAAATTTGTTGGTATACTCCATTGTCTCTGCCCCTGGCATGTGCATGTGCATATGCTGCTACCCCCGGCTTAATTTATTTAGTCTTAAAGTCTTCCCATTTCTCTCCTTGGTTTTCTCTTTTTTAATCCTTAAAGCGCTTCTAAGGGTTTATTTCAAGAAAAAACACCTTGTTAATTGAGGAATACAAAATCGTCTAATTTTCAATTATAATAACAAATTGTAGGAGCAAAACATTTTTTTTTATTAACTGGAATTTTGAAAAGTTTTATATTTGTTTAATTTTTTTTTAACTGTCTGCCAACAATGAAAGGTTGCATTGCAAATTTTATAAAGGCGAAAATATTATTAAATTTACTTATTTTAATTTGTTACTACTACTTTGTTACCAAAAATATCAAACCCGTATTCTTCGAACTACAAAAATGTATATTTGTAGGTCTGATTTTCTTCTGTGTGTACTCACTATATTGGATTTTTATCCTGGGGTGTGTTCCTTGGCTCGCTCACGCGTCGCAGTCAAAATTTCTGCTCTCCTATGCTCTCCCTTTGTTCATTGTATTTGGGTGGGGTTGTGTTTTGTTGCGAGCCGACTGCCACTCAATTTTTACACCCAACAGGACACGCAAGTGTTTTCATTGCCAAGACACTGGTACTTGGCTGCATTAAGGATTCTATGGATTTTTGGGTGGTGTTTGAGTTTGGAGTTTTCGATTTTAATTTAAAAAATTAGAGGTGGATTCTCATACCTCTTTTATTCATTAATATTTTAAAAGTATATAATGGTTTATTTTACAGTAAGCCAAAGGGGTAGTTTGCTTGTGGAGATGTACAATAGGTATAGGTTTGCAATGCTGACCCTTTTTAATAAAATATTTTTATTTAAATATGTATGATAAATTAGGTTAGCCGAAATTGTGATTTATCGTTTGTTCACAAGCTTTTGGTGAGTTGCGGTCAATGCATTCTAAGAAACTTGGCTCTCTCTACAACTCTCTTTCTCTTCTTCTTTCCGTCTGCAATCTGCATGACCAGCAACAACAACAAAAGTAAATGGCGTTGCCAACTGCTGCAAGAGTTGGCAATCTTTTCGCTCCGTTGCAAGTTCCAGCTCCAATGCACAGACTCGCTCACATATAGACATGCTTTCATAATTAGAACAACAATAACAGCTGCAACGACGAACAGAAATACATACATATGTACATTCATAGTTAGTTGGGAAAAGATGGGGGTGCAAAAAAGTAATAGATATGACTTTGGTCTCTTTTAATTGGGTCATAGATTTTCGCTTGCATGTCTATGCCATTTTAATGATTTTCCTGGTTGCTCATTGCCTTTTCCTCTCTCTTTAACTTCTTAATGTTGTTGTAGTTTCTTTCTGCTGTCTTAAACAGGAATAAATAATATATGTATCTTCCCCCATACATATATCATATATTTCTGTTGTAATTTGTAAATGTAGATTTTTTATTTTAAGCAAAAAAAAGAAAAATAAAAAATGTGACTTTTGACTTTTAACGCGTGTCATTTGGAGAGTTTTTGAACAATTTTCAATTTTAAAAGTTCAGACAGCTTATACAATATTTAACTGCACTGTAAACTTTGTTTTATAATCCTTTATTGCTGTTATGAATGTACATTCCCCTTAAGGAGAACATTTTTTAATGAATGCAAATACAAACTTATATTAACTCTAGACAAATAGCGCAAAAAGCATATATGTAAATACATCTCAAATCACTTATTGCACTTCGTCTACTGTTACATCGATCACTCGTAGCTATTTTTAAAATCAGACCTTATCAAAGGCGCCTTGCCTCTAATCAAGGGTCTGAAAAGCACTATAGAAAAACATGACAAATTCAAAAATATTCTAACGCGTAAAAAAAATGACTCAGCTTTCCTCTTCGCGTTGCGATTCCCACAGAAATACTCAGAAAAAAATGAATTAAATTACAATTACAAATACGCTTTGTATTGTTGGACAAACTTTCGCTAGGCCAGCAATTCACACAATTCGCATCGCATTTGTTGAAACCTTTTTGGCTTAATTAAAATTTATACAATGTACATATGTTTATTTGCATTATTATTGTGTTAGATGGGGTGGAATGATAAGCTGGTCAGGCCATGTATATACCGATGTACCTTCATGCTCACATATTTCTTGTTGCTACATTTTTTTGTTTTTGTTTATGCCTGCAATTGAGCTAAATTTTAAATTATAACAGTGCAACTTGGGTGTGTTACTAAATATTCTCCTGAAAATAAACATACATACACGCATAAGTAAAAATACTGAAGAACAATGGGCTTATTATTCAATTTGAAGGGTTTGTTCTAAGTCCTTTTAGAAATATAAAATGTTTGTCTTCACTTTAAATTAATTTTTATTTTTATAAAAAAAATAATGGTAAATGATTTTCGAGTTATAAAAAATGGTACCAAAGGAAATGCTGCCTGAAAAGCCTATCAAGCAACAGCAAAACGAGCCGAGAACAGTGGCTCTAGTTTTTGCAATTTGGAGTACCGCTTACGCCATAATTAAGTCTGAAAACCCATTAAGATTATTAACTCAATTAAAATCGGTACTCACTTCTTTACTGTATCTGAATCTTTCTGTACACGTTGTGTTTGTTGGTAATTTGGATTACCCATACATGTTCACTTTGAGAGTACAATTTTTTGTAGGCTCCATTTGATGCCTACGTGATCTCATTTGTCATCGACGCCGGTGTTGGTGCGATGACTGGTATGAATACATCAGTATCCACTATTTAAAATTTTAAAAATTAGCATGGTATATAAAAAAGGTGGATTTTTTTGATATTGTATCTTTTTGGTCGTTATTGTAGGCGTCAAAAGATTTTGCAAATGTGTTTGTGTATTTGTAAAAAACTTGTTTAATTTTAAGGCTTTTCGGCCGAGTTGATGATGACCCAAAATCCGAACAATTGCAGGCCCAGACAAGAAATTATGCTGCAATATGATTGTTGCAGTGCCGCTGCTGTTCATTTAACTTTGTGTGGGTTGACTTGGAGTGGAGTTGATTGGCAAAAGGCGCCGGTTGGCGCACTTAAAACCCGCTTGCCAATGCAACCTGGCCAGACAGAGCAGAGGCCCAAAGAGAGAAGGAGCTGCGCAATACACGGCCAACTCAGGCAGACAGAGAAGACTTGACGGTTAATTGTAGCGTTTTATATTTCGAGTTCAAAAGAAAATGCTTTCAGCAGCATCGTAAGCAGGTCCTCTTCTTGTTTCTTGCAGATATAGTATTTCATGAGGACTTTCTGTGAGCGCCGTATCTATATTTACATTTCTTCTTAAATACATAATTTAAACCACAGACAGTTGCGGTGAAAAATATGGATAGCACTTAATATACCTAAATCTAGAAATATATTAAAACGCATTATATAGTCTCTAACACAGCTTCTGAAAAAATTTCTAAGTTGCAGCACATGCAAACTATTTTTCAGATACTTGCAAGTACATATGTTTAAATGCAGTGGTAGTATTTTAATGATTGCAGCTGTACGAAAACACTTATGAGCGCTCTGCACTTTTTCAGATACATATGTACATCGCTTAGTTGAATTCCTCACCCTCTTGCCGTTTGGTCAGCGTGTATTTATAAAATGCAAAATCCTCCGCCAAGTGCCAAGTTCAATAGCTTTTCGTGCACCACACTCAGAAATTCACGTACACAATATAATTATTCAAAAAAAAACGGGAGACAAGATGTCGCTACATGTTCTGCGGCTGCAGTTTGGCCCCTGCAGCGCTTGGATAGATGAATTCTGACGTGGATGCTGGAAGTTGGGAGGCTCGTAAAGCGGGGAACGGCAATTGATGGTATATGTCGTCTCTTCTCCTGGCTTATAAATAGAGTTTTATCGTTGCTGGAGGAAGTAGAAGTGGTGGGTTTTTGGCACGAACTCATGCCTAGGGAGTGTCCACCAACAGCCTACTAAAAAAGAGGAAAAAGTGCTGTTAATTGAAAGACAAGCCAAAAAGAGACCAAACGAACATCTTGCCCATCTACCTTCCTTGGAAGCTATCCGCAAGATTGATGTTGTAACACCGGAGATTCAAACCCAATGTTTAACTTAAGTGTAATTCATTCGTCCTCGACGGGCATATATTAAATGACCAACAAGACATAACAGTTTGGCGATAGCAGTGGTAAGAGGTAAAACAACAAATGTACATAAAAGTTTTACTGCTTTGTCATGCCACAAATCAGGCAATAGTTGTTATTTGATGTGAACTCTCCAGTCCATGTCAGGATGCCAAATAAAAAGGCCGGGAATATTGTTTCATTTTTCGAGTCTGGTCAGATGATAGCATTTTCCCTTTATTTTAACCTACAAGTCTTTTAAAGGCAAGAAGCAGTGGCCATTAGCCACAAGGCTTTTTGCCTCGCCTTGAATTTTGTCTAGAGCTCGGGCCAATGGTAAATAACTCATAAAATAAGAACTGGTAAGAGAGCGTTGCTCTTGTCCGTTTTGCTACGGGCTGTTTGCCGCTTCTTTTTCCGATTGCCAAACCAATGTTCGTGTACTGGCGAACAAACTTAGCCAGGTGTTTTATTACCATTTGCGCCATTAACAATTTTTTGGCCTGTGCAAAATATTGCTGCCTTCTTGCTTTTTATTCTTTTTGTTTTTCATGTTTTGCTCCATTATGAATTTGTTAGTTTGACTCCTATTTTCTCTTCTTCTCTTCATTCATCTTCCAACTTACCGTTTTTATTGTTAATAGGGGCCTTGCTTTGGAGTGTTTCGGTTTATGGTCGGACTT